AAATATTTCTAGTTAGGCAGGAAATAGAACAGCTGGGAACATCTGTGGTGAAATTCTTTTAATGAAAGCTCATCCTTTTCTCAAAGAGAACTAGCAGTCCTTCAGTAGAAAAGTCACAGTATTACGAATAGTGCTTATTAATTGCTTAACTTCCATAATAATAATATTAGTCTCTCAGATACTGCTTATATCAGAAGCATCTAAATTATTAAAAATATTATGTTTGTATTTATTACAAGAATAGACTTTGTGCAAAGCCTTTGCAGATATTTTAAGTCATAAAACAGGATTATTGGAAATCTTTTCTGCAAAAAAGAAAAATTTGCTTTTCTTAGCCATAAATGTGGCTATGTTGTGTAACCAATATAATATGGCTTGCTTATTTCCACAAATATTACTGTACAGTCTACCACCTGCTTAACTCACTTATCAAGTCAAGACATTTTGCCAATTAAAAAGATGAAAGGTCCTGATATGAAATGAGTAGCATAACCCTATTAAACCTGTATTTCTTTATTTCTTTATTTCAGGAGGGAACTCAGTTAGGATTTAAGCTCAAGGAAAGCAAGATGTTTGTGTAATGTTCAGTGAATATTTTTCTTGCTGCCTTTGTTAGTGGCACAAATAAAGTTGCTCATATTTGGAGATTTTTGTTGAGGATTAACCTCACATATGGGTTTTGGTCCTTGGGGTAAGTTATGGGTATATCACACACTTACCTGAGGTGTGTCAGCTCCTCAAGACTTCTGTTGTCTTCTTTCTCTCCCTCCCTCCCAGCCCACCACCCAGTTAAGCAAAAACTGCCTGCTGTCTTTGTAGTTTGCTAGCTTGAACAGAAGAGACTCAGAGAAGTGCAAGGAATGATATACTGGATGTTCTAAACCTGCACAGGAACTGCTTGGTCTCCACAGCAGACATAAAAGCAGTCCCTTCTCAAAGGGGGCACTGGTGGCTCTCGGGCAGTGTTTGCCAAAATGGTCTTGGAATTGTGCAGCTTGGTTAGGAGTGACTGGTAAGGGAAGTCCCTTAACTGCTCAGCACTCAGCAGAAGGACTTGGTGCCTCTCAAAGGGTGGAGATGTATTTTTAGCTAATGAAAGTGCTAGATGCTGCCCCTGTTCTTTGTTTTCAGCTTGGGGAGATGTTTTCAAATAGGCTCTGATATGTTGCACTTAGGCCGTTCCTGAAACAATAGTGTGCAATGTCCTAGGGTCCCTGGGGAGATATCTTTGCTGTTTAATAGTAGGAAAACTGCTTAACCTGACGGGAAAGGCACAAATGGGTCCTTAATGTGGTGACTGCCAAGATCTGTATAAGTGCATTTTGTGTGTCTTTTGAAAATGTGGAGCTCTAGATGCACTTAGAGCTGGTATGAGGCACTTGAGATGTGATATTTTCTTCTTAAATTTGCAGTGAAGCATGGAAGATTGAGTTTACATGGATGATTTTAACCAGCAGCAACTGAAGTGCTTCTATTAAGATGCTGTTCTATTCCATTGACCAGCAAAGGGTTTTTCACTGCTAGGGTAGCTTTAAAGTACCATTTCAAGTTCAGTTTTAGACACATGTTCATCTATGTTAGTATTCCTTAAAATATGCTGTGCTGCTGTCTCCTTAAATACATTTTCCTGAAGTTGTGAGTTTAATTTTGATAGCTTAAATTTTTTTCATTCTTCAGGGACTTAATATTAATTGTGCTGCTATGTGTAATCAAAAGGATGAGAAGCACAAGTGCTTAAACTTCAAATTAGAAAAACGTCTTTCACTTGTGTGAACCAGTCCAGTGGGGGTGATTATGTGCAAAGAATATTTTTAGTGCTTTAGAAAATCACTACTGATCTAGAGTCTCAGAGTCTTAGCTGAGCTGTGAAACAATGTAGAAATAGAATCCTTTACGTTGACACAAAAAATTTTATTGCAACTTCCCTTATGTGATCTTGTCATGCCCAGGTGGTCGTCTGCCAACAGGGTAATGGTATGTCTCTGCCCTGTTGTGTGGAAATAACAGTACAGATTAACACTTTACAGAAAAGTAATTGCTTGGTTATTTTTTAGTCATGTGAAAACACCAAATCTGGGACTGATCCTGAACTCATCAAGTGAAGTCAGTGCAGCTGGGGAGGAACAGCCTGCTGGGTTGGCATTTTGGGCTATGATTAAAACCAATCAAGGTAATGATTGGAGCAAAGTCATTGAGTGATACCATAGTCAACAATGTTGAAATCACTGCATCAGTGTTTTCTGCATAGCCCCCAAGAGTGCTAGGATTGATTCTTGAAGGGATTTGGAAAGTTGATCAGTTACTGTAAACTTTACTTTTCTTATTTCATTTCCAGCCTGTAAGCTTAATCATGCCTATATAATCAGTGATTTTTTTTTTTTATCCATGGAAAAAAATTCATGTACTAGCTTTGTCTCTGAATTGGTTTATACTCTATTTTATACTCAGAAATTTGTGACTTCTCTTACAAAGTAAATCTATATGTACCAAAAGAAAGAATTTTGATGCTAACTATTAGTTTTGTAACTTGATATTGCAAACTGTGGCCATCAATTTTATGAAGAAAATGTTAGAATTGAACTTCTTAGTGATCTTTTGGTAGATAAAGTATTATTATATTGGATAACTTAGCACTGATTATAGTGCTTCCTACGTGCTTAGAAGTTCTGTCACCTTTTTAAAGAACGTTATCAGTGAATTTGATAATAATCTGACTTTGCTTTTACATGGCTGTAGAGCTTCATAAACATAGGAAGATGGATTTCAGCTTCAGAAACACTTTTGGCACAAAGACAATAATGCAGGCAAGGCTCTGGAGGCTCTTTAAATTCCCACTGTCTGCCCTACTTTTTCTTCCATAATATCCTTTAGGCAGGATTTCAGTGCCATAGTTAAGTCAGTGACATTTGTTAGAGTCATATAACATCAGCTCACACTAGTGTGATTAGATAAATGGCTTCTGTGTTCAAACTAAAAGCCATTCTGTCCTCTCTATCCAAAATAGCTGCAGATACTGTGCAAGAAAAAATGTTGCATATTAATGTGCTAGTCTTGTGGTCAAAAATTTCTTTTTCAAGTCTTTGTACAGTTGTTTTCAAGGGAAGATTATGGTTCCTTGCAAATTACTAAGCCTTACATGCACTCTTCTCTGAAGGACTTTGAGTAGCTGAGAAAAAAAATCAAGTTATTTAATATTAATCTGAGCTACTGTATGTTCTGACCATTAGCTATACAACATAACAATGTTGGTTGTGAAGAAAGAATTACCATGTTGAATTAGAAGCAGGCACAATCAATGAAGTGAAGTTCTGTGGTTCAGTCAAAATTCCAAATTCGTTCTGGGTTGGTTGGTTTGTTGGTTTTCTTTGCCTTTACTGCAACAAAGTAGGCCTCTATAGTACATCAGAACGTCGTTTGCAAACTTAATTGTATATGCTATAAGAGTCCTGTTTGGAGTTCTTCCTAGTCCTTTCTTGGGTTGTTGAAGCCAAGTTTTGTATGTAGATGTAGATTTAATTTATGATGCAAAAAATTAAGTCTGTGAACTTCTCTTACTTGGCTTTGTAAGTAACTGTCTCCGAGTTGCTTTATGTTTATCCCTACTATAACTTGGCAGCTCTTTTGCAAGGAAGTGTGTTAAAAAGTAGGTGAAAAACAGTTAAGCTGTTCTCACATCTGACTTTCCAGAAAATAAGAGACTGCTCTGCATGTGTGAGAGCAGAAGAGAAAACTCAGCTAGCCTTTTAGTATCTGTGTGAAATGTGGCATGAAGAGAAACTAAAGTCAGTGATTTCATCTATGTGAAATCAGGTTTCACATGGAAGAAAACATACAATGAAAAAAATGCAGTAAGGTGTTTTGTGGTAAGACTTAAAACAATTGAGCAGTCTGGTGAAATTCCTTTTGTGTCTAGGTAGTGTTTACTTTGCTTCAACAAGGAGTGATGTAAATGGTTTCAGGAGGCTTTTTCCAGCCCTGATGCTGAACAAGGAAGGGCAGACTGCAGTAATAAAGAAGGAATGCATTCAAGTGTTGCAGCTTAAATGGCTTCCTCCTTTCTGGCTGCATTTCAGCCATTCCACCCCGGGTAATGTGTGAGGGCTGGGATCTTCACAAAGGCTCGAATGGGAAGGGCCGGTATTGACATGGTTCTGCTCTCAGGTCCTGTGTGACGGTTTTCTACGCGACTGGTCTTCCTCCTGTAACATTACACACACACTCTGGGAGCGTCCAAGGAGGATATGGAGAAACAAAGGGATTGGGATTTGTACTGGGAAGGCAATTCTTTGGATCTGGGAAGGGTTTGCCAATAGTATCAACTAATTATGGTGAGACCCTAGTCCCAAATAACTCTGGGTTGTGATTTTGTGGACAGAGGCTGCAGAAGGAAGGGCAAAAAAGTGGCATATCCTGTACTTGTGATGAAGCAGTAGAGGGCACCAGACAGCAAGGAGCAACTTTTTGTACAGGAGTTAGCGAGAGAACAGACTCAGAGGAAGTAGGAGTGGAAGGGAGAGACACTTGTCTTCAACATCACTGCATGCCTGATATTTTGGGAAATGGTGTACTTCATGGATGACAAGGTACAGCTGCAACTATAAGAAAAATGAGAACTGCTTCACATGTTTCTTTGCCTAATCAGAGAACTACCTGAACTAGAAACTTACTGTAACATAACCTCCTTATGTAAAATAAGTATAGCTTCCAGCATATTGTATATTTTAAATTTAGGGAATTCAAAGATTTAAGGTTGCCTGTAATGTATATGATGAACTGATGTAGCAGAGTTCAGATACCTAAACTGAGGATAATACATTGAGATGTATTTCAGTCTTAAATTCAGTCTTCATTGGCCAAAGCATCAGCACACTGTAATATCCTCATGCAATTACTTTCCATCTTGTTCTCATCTTTGTCATTAAAAATGGATGACAGTGGGGTCTTTTTTTAAGGTGGATGAAGTAGTTTCATTAATGTAGATATGGTCAATCCCTCTCGTAAGCTTTCTAGTACAATAAACTAGTTCTGCCGTCTTCCTTTTCTTTTCCCCCGGACAGTGGTATGTAGCACTGTATGGGTAACTAACATGTTAACAGAACAAGGTAAAAAAGGGGAAAAAAAAAAAAACTAAAACAAAAATAAACCCCAAATCCAGCATCAATATCACCCTTGGTTATTTGGAAAATAACTGGGAGAACTCTGATGCACTGGTAGTTTATCTGGTGGATGTTAGAATTGTTTTCTGTGAATTGCATTGCATTCCCAGTTTTTGTTTTGTTTGTGGTCATCTCTGAATATATGGTGGACTTATTAATGTTTTTATCTTTGTAGTAGACATGTGACTCATATTCATGCTTGATATTTACTAGCTAGATCACAAAGAATGATGCAGAATATTCTGAGGTGGAAAGGACCCACAAGGGTCATTGAGTGCAGCTCACAAGTGAACGGCCATAGAGGGATTGAACCCACAACCTTGGCATCATTAGACCCATGCTCTAACCAACTGAGCTATGAAAACTTAATTCAGTTCTACATTTTAGAGTTCCTGTAAACTTGACAAAATTCATTGTGAATGCAGAGGCAAAATAAATGTATAGTAGGTGTTCAAAGCCCAACTTGTGTTTCTGTAAAACACACCTGTGGTACATAAAATAAAAAATGTTATGGGAACCAATGGGAGATTTTAGAAGAACATAAATACTTCTGAGATTTCCCTTTCCTTTTCATTATTGTGTGCATAAAGATAATATCCAGTTCTGTCTGGAAGTGGAGAGTGAAAAGCGATGGATTTAAAATGTTGCACCGAGGCTACAAGTCAGTGCTGTAATAAAGTCAGTGGATGAGGATAGACAGAGACCTCAGGAACAGTACTTCAAACTGCAATAATAAGTGATGACTCTGCACTCCCCCTCCAGGCTGTATGGCCTTTAAAAAATACATGCTGAAGAACCTCTGTACCCCATTAAAAAAAAAAAAAAAGGGCAGAGAGATTTCTCCTGCTGAGTCAGTTTAAGCATCTAGGTCAGGTTTCACCTCCCTGCAATTAAATTTTGTTCAGTTCTTGCATCTTTCTTAAAAGCCTCTGTAGTGGTTGATTGCTTTCTTCAGAGCAACTTGAAAAGGATTTGATGACAGCTGAAATAAGCTTATGTTCCTGGACATGGGCTAGTACTAGACATGGTAACTCAGGAGGTTACAGTAAGAATAGAGGAAAGGGAGAGCTGCTGTACTGCTTTAGGAAGCATTTAATTGTCGTCTTGGGCTTGACATCATGTTGATGCAGGGGAGATGCAAGACGAGAAGAGCTGTTTCTCTTCACTCATTTGCTTCGAGACAAGACCACAGATAAAGATGCTTCTGAGGTACAGCATTTTAAGCAGGTTAGCAGGTACAACTCTGAAAAATGAAGTCTCTTTGCTGTGAACTAGAACTGGCTCCTAACTGGCATGCTTGAAGTGTGAACAGAGCAAGTTGGGACTGTCTGTACCAGCTTATACAGACAAGCCTGAGGCAGAGCTTAGAAACAAAACATCACTTCTTCAGAAGTTTGTGTTGTTACAATCACCAGCCTGGACTGTGAGAGGCACAGGAGGAAGGTGTGTGTTCACCACTTGCCAAGATGGATGCAGGCAAAAATTACAGTTGACCAAGATGTGGAGGGCCTGGGAGGAGTTTGAAGACTTCCATCCAAGTCCAGCCTTGCCAGGCCCTCTGCAGACACCGTTAATTTAGTTTTATGACTCTTTTCTCTGCGTATTTGCCCGACCTGGGTTATATTATAGCCCAGAGCAGGAGTTTGGGAGGAATTTAAGGTGGTAATCTACAGCTAGCTGAATTTCCAGGTCCTCTCAAACATCATGTATGTACTGCTGCAGATTAAACCCAGCAGCTTCCTTATTTGCATGAATGTTCTTAAGTTGTCCTCTCCTAATGGCCATAGCTTGTTACAAGGCAAACTTTAAAATTACAGTCATGAGATTAAATGGCTGATCAGTCTTTCTGTTTCATTCCTCAAATAACTTTTACACATTGTGATGGGGGGAAGGCATAATTAGAGCTGTAGAAATAGGGGAGGTTTTATGTTTGCTGGTTGGTAATTGTCTAAAAGATTTCTGTGTTTCTGTAATGTGTAAGAAATACCTTAAAAACAAAAGACTCCTCCAAAAACATTAAACATACCTCACACAAAATAGACCAGACTTTATTTAAGTAAAATAAGTCCTTTTTTTGTTCTTCCCTAGTCTCTAATGTACTTTTGAGAGGAAATCTTCGACAGTGTTGATTCGTGTTGGTCTATGAAATCAGGAGTTGTTTTCCTAAACAGGAAAAGATGTTAAGACACTTGAGATGGATCAAGAATAGAGACATCTTAGCTAGAGCAGAAGCTGATATACAGGAGGTGAAATGGGTAATCCTGAGCCAATGAATTCTAGGTTTGGAAACTTGTGCATTGATAAGATGTTCTCCATCTGCCATTAGCTATCAAGTATTCCTGTTGAGAGACAGGTTGTAAAATTCAGAGTAGCAGCAACTTCTGTGGACTTAAAATTTGCTTTGTAGTATTAACGTATAAATTCAATTTTAGGTAAGGTTTTAAAGAGTGTCTTCCAGAGTGGAGAAAAGTAAAGGAAATCTGCCTGAAGTCTATGTCAAGACGGTGATCTTTCCAAATTGACAAAGATTCCTTATGATCAATTAGCCCGCCTTAGTTTAAGTGAGGAAGATACCAAACACATTGACTGCATTCTGGATAGAATTAATGTATTCATATAGAGCAAGAGACCAGCTTCCAAGGACAGATTTTCTTCAGTGTATTACATTATAGCAGAGAGTACTTGACAATTAGGGTGAGTGCACACACTTTAGAAAGGAGGCTGCAGCTTTTTGATTTGGTGATGTTGGACAGGAATGACAATTGCAGCACCTGATTTAGTCACCTGAGCTTTGTCAGCCAGGCTTTCAATGTAGCTTATGGAGAAAGGCTTCCCTCAAGCACTCATTGATGTAGTTAGGATTCTGCTCTGAGTCAGTGTCTGCAGGAACCTGTTCCACTACAGAGGGACAAAGGGGTATCAGTTGGAGACTTTTTTTTACCCCCAAACCTTTTTTTGGTGGGAGTGTTTTGGTTTGGTTTTAGTTTTTTGTTTTGTTTTTTTGTTAACTGAAATCACTGCTTCAGGGAATCGCTCTTTAAAATCATCAGAAAGTGAAACCTATGCAGGATGGCACTTAAGCTATTTATCTGAGTATAAACACAGGATTCTTGTTAACTGCCTAAAGTTTCTAGCAAGATTTAGATCTTGGGAGTTACATCCATGAGTCCGGTAATACCCTCCTTTTCACCTGTTTCCCAGCTGTATCACAACAGAACCAGTGGAAGTAATTTCACTTGGATTTTGCTGTCTGACAAGATCTTTGCAAATGTTTCACCAAGTGAGATTTTTAGGAACCATTAAGATAGGGTGAGGAGTGGAATGAAAACTTACACTACTCAGCTGAATTACTGCAGCTGATGGTCAAAGGATGCAGAAGTTCTCCTGAGCTCCAGCTTGTGTGGTCTGAGTCCTGTTCTGCCGGGTGTTGTGCTGAGTACTTGCTCACCCTTTTGAAAGCAGGGACTGACACCTCCTGTAAATCAAGGTCTACATGGTATTGATAATTTTTTCCAAACTGAATCCAGTAGCTGGGTGATTAAACTGCTCTATAACACAACAGCTAACAGCCTGGTGCCATTAATCTACCTGTTTTCACATGGAGCCTAGACCTATTAAGAGTTTTATGCTTAAAAGTAAGAAGCCTCAGCTTTTCCAGAGAAAAGTTAACACTCAGACCTGGTAGCTAAAAGGCTTGGCCTCCTTAACATGGCAAAAATATCCCATTAGTAATTTTTCCCATGTTGCTGTGATTAGTCTTCATTGTTTGTGGATTAGAGGGTTTCCTCAGGAACTGTGGAAACAATCTTTTCCAGAGATTGCCAGAAGGGTATTACTTGCTGTGTGAGTAAGGAGAACACTTAGTGAGAGTGGGGCAATATCAGATGTGTCCACAGATGTATACCTGAACCTTACATTAGCAGAAGGACAGGTACATAATCACCTTGAATATGCAATTGAAATAAGTACACATTGTTGAACTGTTTGGCTTTCAGCTCCTGCAGGCGATTCAGGCTTCCTTTGAGCCTTTGTGTCGTAAAGGAAGGGCCACTGTGTTCTCACAGAGTGTTTGGCTGCATTGCAACAAACCTGGTTACTGATGCCCAGGCATACTTTGATTGATGCACAGATCAAATGACTGTTGGGAGTGGCTTTTAGGGTGACGTCCCACTTACAGTGATGTCAGCAAAAGATTTTTAAAAATTCAGGTGTGGCATAATATGCCAATTAAACTGATTAGTGCTCTGGCTGAGTCCTGAGAAGGAGCTCTGACTACAGCCCTGCTTGTTGAAGCCTTTCATGCAGTGCCTTTGGCTCACCTCGTACGAGACTTTTACCAAGTACCTTCACTTCAGGGTGCTGTAAATTGTGGTAGGATACCATACTAAGGGCTGTATGCTAGCTCTCTTGTCATCAGGGGAAATCTGATCCTGGCTCACAAATGTCCCTGACTGCTTGGAAGCTGTGACACTGGAAGAGGTCCTGTGACTCCCGTGGGATTGGGATGGAGTGCATCGCTGCTCTGTTGGCAGAAGTGAAAGCTAGCCAGGAGGCAATGCAGGCTGGACAGAAGGCACTAAAGCATGATGTGGAAACATCTCAGAAGGAAATCAGAACGGTGTTAGCATTGCAGAGGAGCCAGCAACAGGTGAAAGAAGATCTCAAAGCAGAGGTGAAGTCCAGTCACTTGGATGTAAGAACTGTGCTTGAGGAAATCCAGCGAATAAGAGAAGAAATGCAAGCTCGATTAAATACTCAGGCTGATCTGGTCTTACTGATCAAAGAAGTGAGCACCAATTTAAGATGTGTAGACAAGGCTTTCCAAAAAATGGAGGAGAGGCAGAAAGTTTTTACCAACCTGCATCTTCCCACGAGAGAAAATGTTGAGCAAGGATTCTTCTTTGAAAAATGCTTACACCAGTCACATGTGGGTTTTGAAAGACCTATGGAAGCTAACAATTTGGATGAGGAATGTGAAAAGAAGGTGCTTGGGGGTAAGACAATTGGGAATGTAAGTGTGGGTAGAGAAGTGAGGTTGTTTCTATTTGTCTTTGTCAAGAAATTTGTTTAGTCTACTTTAAATGCTTTGAAGAAATTTAATAGTTTTTAGAAATTGAATCTCATGCTTAAAATAATTTCTAGTTAGTGTAGATACTACTGCACATACCTTCCTAGTACATGACATGCAAAGGAAGGCTTTGATTTGGTTCTGCAAACCAAAAAACTATGTTAGAGATTCTTCTGGTAATCCAGCAACAATGGACAATATAGGGAGGCTCAGGAAACCAGTAGCACCACGCAAGCTCTGAGGTAGCCAGCCAGATAAATACTATGTCACATACTGGGCAGAACCCCAGCACCTAAATGTAACTTTCTGGAATGCACCCTGTGTACTGACAGTTGTGTATTTCTTTCTTCTGAATGGCTATTAACTAGAGAAGCTGTGTACGAGAAACGATTTACTTCATGGAGAAACTTGGAATGGCTTTAATGCTCTCCCCAGTGAACTGGAGTCAGCTGCTGTGCCATCCATATAATGGCTGTAGAGGGAGTGAGAGGATTTGTGGACCTTTTCCAAGATCCAGATCGTCTTCTGTGAATGATTCAAAGATCAAAAGGCTTAGTCTTTGCAAAATCACTGCTTTTTTTTTTTTTTTCTCTTTACTGGTATGAAGAAGGGTAGGCATTTAGATGGTGACTCTGTCCAGTTACTGTACTACATGTAACTTGGAAATCTACTACAGTACTTGAAAATCTGATTTTTAGTCTTCCAAAACCAAGCTTTTCAACTACATTGGGTGAAGTGGTTTTGAGCCTGCTGGAGAGGAGTCCAGAACCTGATTTAAAGGCAGAAATTGTTCTGTGTTACAAGTCTGACTGTATAGAGGTGGCAGGTGAACAAGCCCAAGTGAGAAGGACTTGGGCTGTTAATCAACACTGTCTTTAAATTAGACTCTGTCATTGATGTGGTGGTATCAGTAATCAGACACATGATGCTTTTGTCTTAATGAAAGCATGGCTTTTGTTTTGACACCACAGCATGCCTTCTATACAAATCTGGAAACGATCTGTCATTGCCCAGAGGTACGTAGGCCATAAATAAACATCGTAGTGTCAGTGGTGTTAATCTGTAGAGGCAGCTCATGGTACAGAGGGTTCATGCTTTTCAGCATTTGAAGTGGCTGTGTATAGCACATGTCTGTGATAAAATTGCAAACAGGAATGTCATTGAGTTTCACTTCACTTTTTGTTCAGCCTTTTTTAGTATAGTATCAAGGGCTGGCTTGGTTGGATGCTTGAATGAGTTACTTGGAAAATATTTGGTGGTCTGGGCAGTAGGATAAAAGCAGTGTTATGAAACTGACAAAGTGATAAGGGCTGGCTGAACTCTGGAAACAATAGATATTTGGAGCCTTTTGTCATTTGTGGTTAGCTGTTGTGTCACTGTATTTAAATGAAAATTCTTCATTAGGTAAATAACTGTGATGTAATTTCATCCCAGAGTAAAAATTGTCTGCAATTGTTCAGGTTAAACACAGCTCTGTCAGGGTCCTAGAAACGTTTGTAAAACTAATTTCAAATATTTAATTAAATTATGATAATAGCATCTGTATCAATGAATTTACCCAATACTCTTACATCAGGAACAATCCTCTGGTTCTCTATTTATCACAAGTGGAGCATTCAGGAACGGAGGTGGACTATACGAGAGAGTAGAAGTATGTAAGCCAGTAGGGCAGGGAAAAACTGACTCTACATGTTTATTCTCTAGACCCTGCTCTTTTTTCCCCCCTCTCTCTCTTGTGATTTTTGAAGGAGCTTCAGAAGGTAACCAGTAGTTTCCTACACACAGTATTGTCCATAAGATTGCTGGAAATTTGACACAGTTGCTCTCAGATGTGAACTGGCATTTCTGTAAAAATGTCTACCCAAAAGACGTTGTTATATCTTCACATGGAGAAAAGACAACGTCATGTTAGTTAAATGTTAGTAAAAATAACTAGAACTGGCAGGCAAGCTCAATCCTTTTGTCCTACAAATTTGTATTTTGATTTGGGTTAATACACCTTTTAATACCTCTAATATTAAACTGCACGATGGTATGTTTCTAATTGAAAATACATTCTTTAACAGTCTGCATCTCTGACCAGAAGTGTAGGAAAATCTCCAAGAATACGAGGGCATTTGAACATTATAAAGCATGATATTTTATTCTCTAACTAGCAGAAAATCTTATCCAGAGAGGATTTATCTGGAAAATTAATAGGTTCAGGAGGTACTTTATACCAGGCTCATGAAGAAAGACACAGAGAACATTAGTAGTTTGAACAGGAAAGCTGTTTTCAAATACGTTAAAAACAAATTCAGACTGTGGAAGACTGATGTATTAATGCAATAGCTGATATGTCAGTCAGACTAACATTAACTGAGAATCAAAGCTTTTGTTCTTAATACTGTCTCCAGCTGTGAAGATTGAACCTTACACTGCTGGGATGATTCTAGAGTCCTTCAAACCAGGTGCTTGGGATTCAGAAAGGATTGAGTCTTGTTGCTTAGGTTTTTTGCCTGTTTTTTTTCTGCATGTTCCTATCTTTCTTTTCTCCAGTTCTCACCTCTCAGGTTTTTTCACTCTATCATGAAGAAATCTTGTTAAGTTGAAACTGTACAAAGTAATCTGCTTAGATGTCTTCATTGAATTGCCAAGGGATATTTATCTATTGCATCAGCCTTTTATTGCAAAATTGTTTGCTCATTCCCTTTGTGATCAAGGGGGGAAAGACTGGCCCTATCTGCACAGCAGTACTGTACTCCCTTTCCAGTCTGAAGGCAGCAAAGAAACCTGAAAATACGAGTCAAGTGCTGATTTATGTAATCTGGTTTCCTCTGACATGAGATGATTGTGTACAGTAAAAGCATTGAGGTTGTCACAAAACTAAGAATAGTAAATCAATAATGTAATTTCAGGACTGTGAATATATATTAAAATATATTACATATTAGAGCTTTTTTAAAGTCTTATACTTGTGACTGAAAATTGCAAGCACTAAGAAATGTTGCAAGACCTCTAGTTAATAAAGCTCAGGCCTCAGCTGCAGAGAGGGGATTTTTTACAATTAAAATTTTAAAAGGAAGAAAAATAACAAAGGAAATGTAGATAAAATGGTTTTGTATTCAGCAGTACTTTAAAGTGCAGGAAATATGAATTCCGTGTTGCACAACAAAAGTGGACAACTCTTATGTTAGAAATAAGTTACTGAATAGATAGGATGATAGAGATCTTGCATTTTATGAAAGTATTTTTTCAAAGCCCAGTGTGAAGAGTAAGGTGGAATGTATGCCACAGAATACATGAAGGTGAGGATGGAGTACAAAACACTGTATCCAAGGTTATGGTGTTAGGAATTAACAGATTGATAGTGCTTGCTCTGCAGTTCTCCTGAAATAACCCTTTCTCCTAGTTAGTATTTCAGCAAGTGCTTGTAGGAATTTATAATTACTTTCCTTTGCACCTGTCTATTACATTTTGGTGAGATTTCAGCATGAAATGCATATTAATTAGTTGTTGTTGTTGTTGTCTCAGTTGACAAGAGCAAGCAGCGGAGTCCCAAGAGCTCATGCATACGGACTCAAGCCTCCACAGATGTGCATTCACCTGGCACAAAGGCAGCCGAGTTGACACAGTACAAAACAAAATGTGAGACCCAAAGTGGAATCATCCTGCAGCTGAAAAAATTCCTGACATCCAGTAACCAGAAGTTTGAAGCATTAACAGTTGTCATCCAGCACCTGCAGTCTGAGGTAAAAATTCACAGCTCGTCAATTTTGGCTTTAATTGTTTGAACTCTTCTCAGCAAGGGCTTCAGAAAATATTAATATACTGATACTAAATTTTGTGTTTCCATTCCAGTGGTTTCTGTTTTCCTCTGGAGATTATACTTCTAGCAAGGAGGCTATACTTCTAGTTGACTAGAAAAAAAAAATCAAACTCATGACACTGGGCTTTGTGGCCTCTACACGCTTCACATACTCTTTAAAAGAGTTTTAAATGTTTGAAGTCAGAGAGTCCTTGAGGGCTGATTGACTTTCCATGTATGTACTTCAAGTTCTGCCCCTGTAGGAAAGACTGGTTTCAACAGATAATCTACATGGCCTTGCTTTGTTACCTGACATTGGATGGAAGAATATTTAAGAGGTAGATATGTTTTTGAGCTACTCAGAATAAGTCTGAGTTGTTACAGTTTATTGAATCTTGAATTGTTGATGGTGTCTTAAAATTATTAGTAAAAATACAGAAATGCATCTGGAATTATAGAGTGGAATGAATCTGATGTGGCTTAATCTTAACTTTTCTAATCTGTTTAAAATATGTAATGACTTAATCAGTTTGATACTACACTAGAAACTGTTGATCTGCTTTGAAAACTTTGTAGAAAAAAATACAAAGTCAAGGAGATTATAACAGCTATGAGTTTATAGTGCACATCTGATGCAGACTTTAGTAGCAATTTCTCTTGCATTTATAACTAATGTTCTAAGACTGGTATCCATTTCATTTCAGCTCTTCTGCTACATGGTGATTTTACAGTCTGGTATACAAAAAAGCACTGAATGGTCTTATTTTTCTGGCAGAAGTATAACATTCTCATGGGATAATATCTGCATGCTTTCATTTAATCTAAAAATACTGCATTTATCTCCTAGTCTGGTTCAATTCTAAGAGCAGTGGCCAGTTTTCTGGTATTGGTTTGGTTGGGTTTTTTTAAACTCTTGGTTGAAACACTTTTCTCTGCCTAAGGAACTAGTTTGAGATCTCCAAAGCAGTTTGATACAGGATTTTTGGATGCCTGTCACCTAAGCTGATATTGTGAAATTTTAAGTGAAATTCTCACTGCTAAACTTCTGCACAATCTTCTAATTACCATAGAATAAGCACACTGATTTTTTTTGGGTAACTCTTACAATTAAATGTCTTGGCCTAGTTTCTACTCTCAAATATCTTTTATTGCAACATTTTAAAACTCACAAATACTTTATAGATGTCATGTTTAGTAAGAAGCAGCCCGTCATACTAATTTGCTTCTTCTAGGCTATTTTACTGGTTGCTCTAGCCTAAATGTGGATTTTTTTAAAAGAATAATCAGGGGTTTAATTGAGGAAAAAGTGATTTTCAAGAAGGGAAGAGAGCTGCATGGTGATTTTGTTCCTTTTTCCTCTTTGTTAGTCTTTTGCAGATAGAAAGAAAAAAAAAACTCTGTCAAATGATATAAAATTAGTAATCTTGGACAGTTAAGTTTGAGCACATGAAATTGAGCTAGATATGACACGTTGATGTATTTTCATACCAGTTATTGATTTTGAGGTTGCTCCCCTCTTTCCTGGGATAAGACAATACTTGCTGAAGACTCCTTGCCTTACTCTTGTGAAGTACCGTAGGGATGAGGACTCTTCTGCCATGGTGCTATAAGGAATACTTAAAATCTGTTAGTTAGCTATGGGAAACATCCTGAAGGATTTCACTGTTCTAGGGAGGGAACACTGTGAAGAGTAGTTTTAGTTTTATTCATTTGTTTTGAGTTTTTTTCCTTTAGAGTGGGGGCTGGAGTCTGGTAGAATTAACAATTTTAGCTGCCCATACGATTATTTGTCTGAAGTATCCCTTGGGGACCCCTTTGATGTCGTTTTCAAGCTGGATAAACTCAGGGAGAAACTTCAAATTAGGCTCTAACTCATTAGGTAGGGTCTCATAGGTAAACTACTGCAGACGAAACTGAAAGAAGCTTCAGTTTCTCTATCTTAAAAAAAAATAAATTAAAAACCATGCTTTGCTGATTACATGAGGAACAAAGCTGTGTTTCCATTCTTCCCATTGAGCAAGTGTGAAGTGGCATGATGCAGCCTGAGAAACAGCATGCTGGAGACAGAGAGAGGACCTGCTCTGGACTCCTCTGGTACTGCTCTGTCCCTACAGAAAGCCGATTCAGCCCGCCACTTCCAGAAAGCTAAAGCAGCCAAAGAGCATTTATTTGCCAGGTGGTGACGTGGATTGTCCTAATGTTTGGTCAGAGGCAGTGTGAGGGTGAGATGGGGTGAAGGACAGGCTGCCTGGCCAAATGGAGTAAAGTCCTGGAGTGAGCATTTGGGTCACTTCAAGGCTGGGCAGCCCAGCTTGAGCCTCTTGGAAAAATCTGCTGCAGCCTCTCCTGCTCTCCCTCCAAAGCTGAAGAGACTGGGATATGATTTGGCTGTTAGATTTAGTTTTTTATTGTCATGTTGGTTTTTCTCCAAGAGTTGCCAATGTATTTCTGTACAAAAGTTTAAAGTTGTTTCTTATGAACTCATTTGAAGTGGAATATAGCTGCGAACAAAATCAGGACTTGCTGGCAATGACTTCTATCAAAACTGCGGCTACCCCATCTGGAGTGAGGTTGAGAGGCTGCTGTCAAAGGGTTAAATGGGATTGAGCAATGCTGCTCTGCTGGGTCTAGTTGAGCGGGAATCTCTCGAAAAACCCGGAGCTCAAACCTGTTTGTTGCAACAGTTACCTTGGAGCTGTCAATAGTAACAGCTGCTTCTGATAAAACCTTCCCACTTGATCTGCTGGTGTTTCTTTAGGGAGGGTGGGAAGGGTGTCTATGCTTAGCTACCAAGACTCTTCCAAGTTTAAAAATCCTAAAAGCCTGATTTCTGCCTTACAGGAGCTATTGTTGTACTGGGTTAATGCTAGATGGGAAACCTCTTGGCATCCAGAATATTTGATGGCAATGAACAGTGTGGTTGATGAGAACACGGAGTTTTTCCACTGTTGGACAACTGTGTGTGTGTGCTGGCAGTGATAGGAACACATGTTAAACTGAGCACTAATCACAAAAGCAAGTTGAGTCTTTCTCGAGTATTGTGCTTCCCCTGATGTCCTGGCAATTCCTGTCACTTCATGACTACTTTCCTGTTTTTTAAGTTCAAACAAAAAACGAAAAGTGGCAGTACAGAGGAAATGGTGAAATTGGCCATTTACAATAAGTGCATGAAGTGCCAAGGAAAGCTGTTTTCCATTAACCTTCAACTTCCTTGAGCTCTGAAATTTGCACTACTGCATTTAAGTTATCTTTTAACTTACACTAGTATTCTTTTTGACTTTATTGTGCCTTCAGTAAAAGATGTATTTGCAGATGCTTTACGTGGTTAGCATGTCTGTGATAAGTCAGGTTGGGGATGCCACTCTTGCAGCTCTCCCCTCTCTTCCCTAGCCCTTGTGTATGCTTGGGCTTATTTGGGAAGCCAGTAAAAAAATTACTATGGGTCTAGTTTTACAGGTCTGTCCATGTCGAAAGTGTTTCCCATACAGTGGTTCACTGTGGGAAGGAGTGGAAGTGAAGAACTGCCAGTGCTGGGGTGGGGTGGGAATGTGTGTCTGAGAGGTCTGCAGCTGTGGCTAGGAGCCAGATGCTTCCTTGGGAAGCAAAAAACTCCAGTACATCACCAGCTGATGAGGCTGAGGCTATGGCAGCTCCTGCCTGAGCCTCTGCTTCTGGGGTCCTGAGACGTGTTCAGCCCCTTCCCTGCCTCAGGGCTGCCCCCCAAGGCTGTTCTAACCTCCAGCTCTTTACTGTGTATGAACTCCTACATCTTTGGGAGTGGAGGGTGATTGATTTAGCAGTGTGGTACTACCTTGGTTTTAAATCTAGTTTTAAATTTGTACGTCTAAGGCAGATTTAACTGTCAGAAAAGGGTAATGTGTAGTTAGAATGGCTTTGTAACTGTTCAAAGCGTGAATTGACAGATATTTCATCTTCTCATTTTAGTGCAAAAACTGCCACATTCAGAACTACTACCTAAGCTGTTTAAAAATGTAGAATGTAACATGTTTAGTTATTATGAATATCCATTTTTATTTTTCTAGTTTAATAAATGAATCCAATTAAGCATCTCAGTAATTCTCTGCAGATTCTGCTATAGAAATGGGCTTGTATCTGTGAAAAAGGATACTATACAGATGAAAAGAAACCGTTTCACTGTTGTGCTTTTCTTAGTATGGTCGTGGGAAGACTTTACTTGGGGTTGTGGTGCCATCTTTAAAAAGTTTCCTTAGTAGAGGAAAAGGCCATTTGAGAAGGGTGTAGAGCCTTGGCAGTAATGTGTGAATAACACTAATTGTGGATGTGACACAGGAAACAACATGGGGAATGTGCTAGAAATTGTGTGACTGAGCAGGCTTCAGCATTTCTAGGTGGAAATAGAAATTAACCATTAGTATATGACCTGTTGTAGCTGGCATTTCCTGACATGTGCCTGACTGTAAGAGTCAGATAGTAGTTTCCTTGGGAACTTAGCAGTTTAAAACAGGTTTTTTTCCATTTCGGAATACATGAACACATCTATCAGAAATGTTTGTCCTGGCCTTTGTGGAAGTTCAGCAGAAAATGTTTATATTTATCAAATGAGAAATGCATATCTAGGTTAAGGGGCAGAAGTACACATTGCATCACTAAACCCCAAGAGTTTTGGAATAGTCATGTCTTTTGACCTATAAGTCCTGTTGTTTAGAACAACTGTCTTTCAGTAAAACTTAGTTTTCATTTTCTAGAACCTAAAACCAAACTTGGCCAGTTTCAATTAGAATTTTCATATGACGTGTATCTGGCTTCCCAAAATATGGACATAACTTTTTACAAGAGAGACTAAGGATATGTAATTGAGATAATTTTTGTGCTTCTTTATTAAAAAAAAAAAAAAAAGGAAGAAAAATCATGCAGAAGTCAAAATGTAATATCCTGGTTTTGAAGAATGCAATTATTTTCTGT